AATTGGAGAGGGGTTACAGCTGAGGTGTAGAGTACACCAACTGGGGTGAATTTAAAGAGAACCATTGTTTGTAATGAAGGTACTATCATGGACTATTAGAAGGTTGGGTAAGAAGGAAAAGAAGGCAAGATTAAGAAACTGTTGGGGGAAAGGAAAGTGGATGTTGCTCTCTTTCAAGAAACAAAAAAGTCAGAAATCAGAGACTAAAGTCAGATCAATGTGGGTAAAGGAAAAAATGGAGTTTATGGCAGTGGATTCTGAGGGTTCAACTGGAGGTTTACTATGCATTTGGGATCCAGACATCTTCCAAATTTCTGAGTGTTGCAACAATAGGAGGTTCATCATACAATCAGGTACACTCTTTTAACTCATTTGGATGTACTATTTTGAATATTTATGCACCTAATGATGTGGGTTCAAGAGGGGATCTATGGGATAGTCTACTAAATTTGAAGAAGGAGTTCCTCAAGCCTTGGTGCCTAGCTGGGGATTTCAATGAGATTACAACTATTAGTGAAAGAAATGGATGCTCAAGAAGAGATAGAAGCATGAAAGAGTCGAATGAATTTATTGACAAAAGTGAGGTATCTGATTTACCACTACTAGGTAGGAAGTTTACCTAGTGTAATTTGAGAGAATGTGAGAAGTGGAGTTGAATTGACAGAGTCCTAGCAGATCCAAAATGGCTTGAGGTGTTCAACCATAAGTTGTGGGGACTACCTAAATTAAATTCTGATCACAGTCCTCTTCTCTTGATGGAGGATGAGAGTGATTGGGGACCTAAACCCTTCAGAGTTATAAATGCATGGTTTTTACAACAAAATTTCAAAACTTTTGGGTAAATAGTTGGAGGGAGGCCGATGTAGTGGGTTGGGTATATATTGCTAAATAAGTTGAAGACGAAGACACTGAAACTAGGCCTAAAGAAATGGAATCTGGATGTGTTTGGGAATATAAATTACAGACTGAAAGCAACAGAGGATGAGTTGCATAGGTTTGATCTTCTGGCTGAGGGTGATTCAGAAAAAAGCAAGATGGAGAGAAGTCAAAGAAGAGATATGGAGGTTGAGTAAGATGGTGGAATGGATGTGGCTGTAGAAATCAAGACTCAACTGGGCAATGAAGGGTGACAAAAATATAAGATTCTTCCATGTAATGACAAAGTGCAAACAAGCAAGAATGAATTTAATTCCATTTCAGTAGGGGAAGTGATCTATGACGATCCTTGCCAAGTGAGGTGTAAAGTGTATGAGCACTTTAAAAATCAATATTCAGAACATTGGCCAACAAGACTTGTATTAGGTGGATCATTTAAATCAGTACAAGAAAGCTTGGAGTTTGATTAACTTGAAGCAGAATTTGTAAAAGCAGAAATCAAAGCTGCAATGATGGATTCTGATGGGAATAAAGCTCCAGGGCCAGATGGGTTCAACTTGCTGTGTTTCCAGAAGTTTTGGAAAGAAATGAAGGGTGAAGTGGTAAACTTTGTAAAAGTTTTTCACAGGAATGGAAGGCTGGTAAAGGGGATAAATAGTTCTTTCATAACCCTTATTCTTATAAAGGATAATCCAATGGGGCTTTCTAATTACAGACCTATAAGTTTGGTGGGCTCAAGTTACAAGATCATAGCAAAGTTGTTGTCAAATAGGTTGAAAGCAGTGATGCCTCATATCATTAGTGAAACACAATCAGCATTCTTAAGTGGAAAGTGTTAATAGCCAATGAGGTGGTAGATGGATGGAAGAAATCAAGAAAGAAGGGAGTGATCATAAATTGGATTTTGAGAAGGCATATGATTCCATTAATTGGGGGTTTCTTTCACAATGATTTCTAAGTTTGGTTTTTGTGATAAATGGTGCAGCTGGATGAAGGAATGTGTAATATCTGCAAGGATATTCGTGCTTGTCAATGGATCTCCAATTGAAGGATTCAATCCTCAAAGGGGCTTATGGCAAGGTGATCCTTTGTACCCTTTCCTGTTTAACATAGCAGCAGAAGGCCTTCATATCCTATTGTCCAGAGCACATGAGCTAGGGCTGATCGAAGGAATAAAGATGGGATCCAATGGTGTTGTGCTATCCCATCTTCAGTTCTCAGATGACTTACTATTATTCTGTGAGGCAGAGGTAAGGAACCTAAAAAGGGTGCCAAGATGCTTTGAGATTATGTCTTGGCTTGAAGATAAATTATCACAAAAGTGTTGTGTGTGGTGTACGTGCTCCAGAGGAGACTATGGCTGGCTTTGCTTCAATACTTAATTGCAAAATCAAGTCCTTACCTCTCAGTAATCTCGGGTTGCCTTTAGGGGCCAACCGAAGGAAGAAAGCCACATGGAAACCTATATTGGATAAAGTCAGAAGCAAGTTAGCTGGTTAGAAGGAAAAAAATAAAATAAAAAGCTGTTGTCTTTTGCAGGGAGACTAACACTTGTAAAGGCAGTTACATCAGCATTACCAGTGTACTATTTGTCCTTGTTTAAGATGCTTGAAGGAGTGGCTAAAGAATTTGAGAAGCTTCAAGTTGCATTCCCGTGGGGTGGCTCAGAATTGAAGAGAGAGATTCATATGATCAAGTTGGAGGACCTGTCTAAAAGGGTGGATCAAGGTGAGCTAGGTGTCAGGAAGGTTAGAGAATAATTAAATGATGGTTGAAGTCTGGTAATGAAAGTGAAGCTTTGTGGAAGAGAGTAATTTGCAGCAAGTATAATGTGGAGGTGGGAAAATGGATCCCTTTAGGGCCAACCCAAGGAAGAAAGCTTGTATTGGATAAAGTCAGAAGCAAGTTAGCTGGTTAGAAAAGAAAGCTGTTGTCTTTTGCAGGGAGCCTAACACTTGTAAAGGCAGTTTCATCAGCGTTACCAGTGTACTATTTGTCCTTGTTTAAGATACTTGAAGGAGTAGCTAAAGCTTCAGTTACATTCCTGTGGGGTGGCTCAGAATTGAAGAGAAAGATTCATATGATCAAGTGGGAGGGGACTTGTCTAAAGGGTAGACCAAGGTGGGCTAGGCATCAAGAAGGTTAGAGAGGTTAATAATTGCTTGTTAATTAAATAGTGGTTGAAGTTTGGTAATGACAGTGAAGCTTTGTGGAAGAGAGTAATTTACGGCAAGTATAATATGGAGGTGGGAAACTGGATCCCATCATTTATTCATAGAAGTAGCCACTCTGCAGTTTGGAAATGAGTTTTATCTATTGCTGAGCAGTGTAGCAATTTAAAAGAGTTTTATTTGAATAATGTACACTTAAAGGTTGGGGATGAAAGTAGGATCATTTTTTGGAAGGATAAATGGTGCCAGTCAGTAAGCCTGAAGGAAGAATTTCCTGGTCTTTATAGACTATCGGTGGAAAAAAATAAATCCTGGTGAGCATTTTTGGTTAGGAAAGCTATATTTGGAGAATGGAACCTTGCATTTAGAAGAGAGTTGTATGAGTGCGAGGAGTTGGAACTTGAAAGGCTTCTTATTCACCTATTGGCAGCTCCTGTAATGAGATCAGTACATATTGGTAGGTTATTTTGGTCATCAACATCATCAGGTGAGCTTACTGTAGCAGCATTGTATAAGTCTGTCTTGGATAACCTTGGCTCATTTCTGAGAATTACCAAGTTGATTTGGCTCAATTACATCCCTCCTAAAGTGCAAGTTTTTGGGTGGTTTGCGTGGAAAAGGGGAGTTAAGACGAGTTCTTACAAAATTTGGGTATTATTAATGAAAATGCATCCATCCTTTGTGTGAATTGCAATAACGCCAGTGAGTCTGTGAACCATGTTTTAATTTGTTGCCCCTTTGTTTGGAAGATTTGGGCTGAAATGCTAAAGTGGTGGGATGTTCAAGCTGCCTTACCAGGTTCTGTAGATCTTTTATTTTCAGGGTGGGCAGGAGGGAAGTTGAAGAAGAATGAGAGGGTGATCTAGAGAGCTATCCTGTTGGCTGTGTTGTGGTCAGTCTGGCAGCATAGAAATGAATTTGTTTAGAAATTCTACTCCAAACCAGCTGGAGCTTTGTGAATTGGTTAAGATTATGATTGCTCTGTGGTTAAAACCACGGTTCCAGGAATTTCATTTCACAGTGCAAGATTTTATTCTCAACTTGAGGCAAATCAGGAAGAGTTTGGGAGGCATTGTGGTGGACTGATCTGCTTGTGCTGCCACTAGGGGTGGTCCAAGCTTGCGGCTACTGTTCTGTTTTGTGTTTCTGTTTCCTTGTTTTTCTTTTTCCTTTGTGTGTGTGCGCGCGCATGTGTGTGTTTGTTTGTCCCTGCTTCTTGGTTTCTCACCATCTTTGAGGTTGTGCTTGCATCTGTTTGGGTAGGTCTCACGATGATTGGGATGATGTAGGCCTACTGTGTCACAGTGCTCATATCCTCTTTATTGATGTATTTCCATCGGTTATATGTTTTTTTATCAATAAAGTTCTTTTTTTGGCTGATCAAAAATAAATAAATAAAATTTTATTAACTAGTAATTATAGCTATTTATGAAACATGAAAGTTGAATCTTTATTTTTATTTTAAAAAATGAAGAATAAAAAATTTTGAGTCCAAATAAGGCCAAAAAACAGTAAAGAACTATTGTAAATAGTCTAGAAAAAAAAATTCAACTAGTAAAACTCAAACTGTCAGATTGATTTTCATTTACCTGCCAACCCCGCATGACCCTCTTTTCCAATTTGTTTAAATTAGAACGGATGGTATAGATAGGAGACCACTTGAATGAATTCAACTCAACATATATACATAACACCACTCAAAACCCTAACAAAGTAGAGATTATATTTCAAAACAATATATATATATATATATAACAAGTTATAGCTATCATCCAAAAGTTTCATACAAATGTTTCTAAAAATATGTCAAAAAACCATGACATCTTTATTCTTTTTCTTTATTTTCTTTATTTTTTCCCCCTCTAAATTTACTTTCAAGACTACCAAATATGTAAGATATATAATATACCTTGTAAGGGGGGTATGTAAGTATGATTGGCTTCATCAAAGGATTTAGAGATTGACTTGGGTGATCATCTCCATCAAATCCTTCTCTTTCTTCACTTCACGCTTCATGAAAGAAGCCACATGAACACGATCCAATGGCACCTCCTCCATCTCAAAGCTTTTCTCATCATCCACAGGAGGACAAGGCATCTGATCAAGAAGAATGCTACACTCTTCAAACTTCTCAGTGGCCAGAGCATTTTTTGCGTTAATGTCGAATTTTCCATCCAAGTTGAGGCTCTTGATATAGTTCTGAAGAAGAGAGCTAGGCCTTGGGTTTTTGGTTCGGCATTTTCGCTTTGAGTATTGCCTTCTTTTTGTTGCATTCCAATGATTCTTGACGGAGTTTTCAGTTCTTCCTGGCAACCTCTTTGCGATCTCTGCCCATTTGTTTCCTACTTCTGTATGGGTTTGGATTAGTATCTTGTCTTCATCCTCACTCCATGTATCCTTCTACAAAAGAAATTGAAATATATGTGTATTATTGATGTGAGATTCCAGCTCTAAACACCCAAGCGTATACAAAGTCTTGAAACAGGCAACATACCCTTGCTGATAACACTCAATTGCTCCTACTTGTACAAAACTTCAAACATTTCAAATTTGAAATGAAATCATTAACTTCTTAGAACATACAGAGTTTGATTACACCTCAAAGGCAATTCTTGTTTTCACAAGTTCACACAGTTCATCATTTAAATGTTAAAACATTCTCATTGAGATTTCGTCCTAAACCTCATGGAGAGTTGAGCAGCCTGACAAATAACATTCCAATGTATTTTATTTTATGTGCCACTCAATTCAAATAAGCAAAATTACAAAATTCACTATATATTTTGTGGATATGCACTTCTGTCAACTCTCTCAAGGTACACACCCAGAATTGGGGATGTGCCTTCAAGGCACAGCAGCCTGCTATGTCCCTTTGTGGGAGTTCATCCCAAATATTTTTCGATAATCTGAACCGTTGTATTGTAGGGTTCATCAAAAATATTATTCAACCAAAAAATCAAGTAAATCAAATATTCATTACCCCATGATTAGATCTTAATTGTTTTTAAAAATTAATGAAAGTTATGTTAACTGTTAATTTTTATAAAAACAAATGTGCAGATGTCCAATCAATTTAATTTTTTGCATAGATGATCTACTCGATAAACCCTACAATATAAACGGTTCATATTATCGAAAGAGGCTCGGGACGACACTTCACAAGGGAGCACAACAGCTTGCTGTGCACAGCAGGATCCCCAGATCCCACCCCGACTTGTTAGCAAACAGATTTATGTATAATTTATTTCTAATAAAGACTTATTTTCTGGTTCTGTGGCGCAATTTTTGGCCTAACAAGTTAACTAGATATGCATTTTTTAGGCAACATAAAATGGATGAAGATTCCCTTCGGTCTAAAATGTGAACCGGAGGGAATTGTTTGGATTCGTGGGGTCCATTATGGGTTTTATTTTGATAATTCGAACCGTCTATTTTGTGGACATTTTGTGTATTTCATTCAGAAATAAAAATAAATCAATCCGATGATTGCAACTTGTTCAATTTATTATTTTTGTCATCAATAAATGCTTTATTTTTTAAAAAACACAAATGTCGTTCATTTTTTTAGTGAAAAACACAGTAAATTAAATAAATTACAATTATCGGATCGACCTATTTTTTTTTCTTTTTGGATGAAATACATGAAATGCCTGACAAAATAAACGGTTTAAATCATCAAAACGAAATCCATTACCAAGATCCTCCTCCCTAAATAAATTGTACCATCAATGTGATGCATATATATATACATTGTGCGCGTCGCATTATTGTATCTTTAAAGAAAAGCAATTGAATTTTGTGATTTATTGTGGTAAAGAAAGAGGAAGGAAGGAATGATAGAATACCTTGATATCAGGCCTAAGATGGTTGTGCCATCTCTCTCTACACTGCTTGCCTATCCTTCCTCCCTCCATCATCTCTGCAATTTGAGACCACTTCCTCACTCCATACTTCTCTACCATCTCAATTAACTCTCTACACATTCACAATACACATACATACAACCATCCACATTTGTTATAACATTATTGTGATCACAAACATAAAACAAAATCAAATTTAAAAAATAAATAAATCAATAATTAACAAATAATGGGATGTTAATAGTAGGGAAAATAACCCCGAAAAAATAAAAAATAGAAAGTTGGAAAACTAAATTCAAACTCATGAAAATACGAATTATTTATGCATTAGACTGTGCAAGTGATTGTTGTACTTTTATGAATTTATAATTATTTTTTCTATTTCTCTCTTTTTTCTTTTTTTGATATTTTCCTTAATATTATTAGCCAAAAAAAAAATGCATAAAATAAATTATTATAATTTCTTTATTTTCACCTATCTTCTTCAATGGTCCATTGTCCCTTGACTGAATTGGACTTCTTGCGACCCTTGCATGGCTTTCTTGTTGGCGGTGCCGCCGATGCACCACTATTTTCAGCCGTTATGCATGATGAACCTTGATCAGGAGGTATCACAAACTTCACAGGTTTTATATCTTCTTCATATCTTCTATCGGATTCAGCTGCGTCGCCTGGAGTTTTTTTAGGGTAATTCAAATATCCTCCTCCTCCACCACCACCGCCGCCGCCGCCGCTGCCACCACTGCCATTAGCTGCTTCATTAGTGCCATTATTTACTCCACTGTGTGCAAATGGTTTGGACTCATAAAAATCGTCGAGATTCGGAGAACAGTTACTTGTGAAGGGATCGAAAGGATCAAAACATATAGTTTGGACACAGAATTCAGGGTTTAACCCATTAAAGGAAAACTGATCAAGATGGTGAAGATCATGGAAGAAAAAACCATTTGATGAAGATGATTCAAAGTAAAAATCCTTGTCGATCTCGGGTTTCAAGTAATTGTTGGACAGTAGTGATGGTTGATAGGACAGATCTTCTCTGTACTTTGTGTCAAACTCCATGAGAGAAAATATGAGAAAATGAGCAAGAAAATGGATGTAAATGAAATGTAACTCTCTCTCTCTCTCATATTTGTGTTTCTTAATAGCATAGTAGTAAATGGGAAGGCATTTATTATTTTGTAGACTAGTATAGACTGATTTTAACCAGTGATTAGTGGGTTGATCCTATGCTGGATTTGCATGGGACTTAACAAGGCATTCAGTTGATACAAATACTTACCAAATGAACCATGCTAGTAATGATTGTGCCCTTATGTAATTTCCACCTTTAGAATTACAGAATAGTTGACCAGTAGATTTATGTAATTGCCACTTAGAACAATGATAATGTGTAAGGGTCAAAGTTAAAATTGACGGAGCCACTGTGTGATTATTTTGTTGTAATCTATCTTATTTACTTACTAATATTTGATCGTTTGTCCAAAAAAAATTTTCATTTTTAAATTTTCATTTTTCTTTTGTTTTTTTTTTTGGGGTCAAAGGATGGCCAACTTTTGAGACACTTAAGCTAAGGGTATGGGCAGTGCGATTCGGGCGATATGAGAGTAATATTATAAATTAAATAGTGAATGACGGATTGACAAGCAATCAAACCATAATTTGAGCAGTTTGGGGCAGTTTTAATTTGCTAATTGATTGAAAAATATTCTTAAATATTTATAAAGTATTTGCATAATATATAGCATTAATTTGTATAATATTTATATATATATATAACACAAACTAATTTTACATAATATTTTTCATATATATAACTATTAGTTTGCAACAAATTTCACATTTTAAATCTCTCTCACACTCATTTTTAATTTAATATTTTGTTAAAGATTAAAAAAATATATGTATTAACTATAGCGGAGCAAAACGATTTTAAAGGTAGATTATAAATTTCAAAATTTAATCTGCGGTTAGCGAATTGGACAATTTTAACTGATTGAACGGTATTTTGTATAGTCTTACCTGAGATTGTAATCGAGTCCTAACCGAATTGATATGGGATATTCCAATTGGATGATGTGGCAGTATGGCAACGAGTTGTCGGTCTGACAAACTAAGGGCTATTTAGTAATTCTAACATAAAATAGGGAACACTCTGTGGGTGCCTAGGGATGGCAATTTGAACCTGGCCTGACGCGGACCCGACCTCCCGACCCCGATCAGAATGGTTTTTCCCCGAAAAATACCCCCGTGGGGACGGGAAAGGTATTTGAAATTAAATCCCCGATTAGTTTCGGGCCAGGGACAGGGATAGCTTTCATAGCCTCGGACCCGACCCGTCCCCGTTTCTCCCTGAAGTGAAATTACTATCATACTCTTTATATATACATATATAAACCAAACCCAAAAACACAGACCCAACGGCCTCTCATCTCTCTCTCTAAAAGCCTCACTCCTCAGCCGCTGTCCTCCTCTCTTTCACTGCCGGCGCCGATCTCCCTCTCTCCGTTCCTCTCCCTCCTCGTCCGTTGTCATCGTCTCTCTCCTCCCATCACCTTTGAACTCAGATCTGCAAACTCAGATCTCGACCGTCAACGTCAAACTCAGTGGGGCCACCAAGTCTCCGATTTGCCTCATGTGGCTTGGATCTCACTCCTCATATCCGTCGTGCCGCCAGATCCTCTCACTCGTCTCTTTCTCTCTCTCTCTCTCTATACTTAGATATCTCTCTCGGATCTCTCCCTCCTTTTGTGATGTTGATGATGTTGGTGTTGATGTTGTTCGATGATAATGATGATGTTATCCATGATGATGATGATGATGTTGCTAACTTCTTCTTGTTTGGATTTTTTTTTTTTTTTTGGGTCCGGGGAACTTTCAGGGTCGAGGAAACCTGATTCCAGTTGAGGACAGGGACGGGGATTGTGATAGGTTCTCCGTCGGGGATCGGGGCCGGGGACGGGGAAGTTTTTATCATCGGGGATCGGGGACGGGAAACGTAGTCCCCGGCCCGTTGCCATTCCTATGGGTGCCTCTATTTGTACCCTAGAAGAATAGGGTAATTCTAGTTACATAATCATTCTAGCTCATTACATTCCAAAAATTTTCAAAAAAATTTATTATAATTTTAACCCTAACTAAAATTAGTGAAAAAAAACCCCTCAAGCCTTAACACTACAAACTCTAATTTCTCATTTCATCCAAAAAAAATTTTAACCCTCTTCACTGAACCACCACAACTGTCGTCTGGCGCCGTCATTGCGTGTTGCCACTCACCTACACTGCTATTGCACCAACCTCTTCTTCCTCACCAATGCCTCTTTTTCCTCTTTTTCCTCCAGACCTTAGATTTGAACCCCTCTCTCTCTCTCTCTCTCTCTCTCTCTCTCAGGTAGTCCAGCTCTGGGTGTTCGGTTCGGAGCAGTGAAAACAAGGTCGTGAAAGCAAAAGGATCTGGATAGTGAAGGTCTGGAATGAGGGTCACAAAGATGGAGATCGCACTGGTAAGAGAAGATCGCGGTGCTAGTAGGGACAAGGAATGAGATCGTGCATATGGGTTGGGGGTCGTAGTGGTGGCTATGGTGCTCGAAACGGTGATGGTCGATGTAATTGAAAGTCTTTGTAGGTGGTGGTTGTGGTGATGGGACGACTACGGCGACAATGGCGGCAGCGGCGGCGATGGTCGGAGTTGTAGGACGATGGTCGAATGTGGGGGTAGAGGAGTTAAGGGTTTGAAGATTGATAGTAAGGAGAAGAACGAGGTTAGGGATAAGGGTAAATGTGAAATTACACGGTGTGTGGAAAGAGGAAATATTTTTTTTTTTAATTTTTGAATGGATTATAAATAGAAAATGGGTGTAATGTGGTAGATTTGTGGTGTAAATACCAACTTAATAAAACAAAAAATAAAATAAATAAAAATAAATAATAAATAATATTACTATTATGTACCTATTCAAAATGATTATAAAAAAAAGAAAAAAAAAAGAAAAAAAAAAGAAAAAGAAAAAGAAAAAAGTACTTGATATTGAGGCCTTGTTTGGGTAGAGGTTATATGGCTGAAATAGTCAATAAAAATAAAATAAGTTAAAATAGTCAATAAAATAAAATGACACAACTAACTCATAATCATTTTATTTTTTTCCTTACAACCATCAAATAAATTACAAAAAAAATATAAACAAAAAATAAATAAATAAAACAACTTTCATCCCAAACACAACTTTTTTTCAGCAAAGCTAAGGGTTTATTTGGCATGTGCTAAAATATTATTTTAGCACATTATCTTATTTGGGTCACAACCATTGTATTTGGGTCACATCACCTCTATACTACATCACTTCAATTCCAACTCACATTTCACATTTTTTTCGTAAAAAATCAAAAAATATATTAATCTAGCACTTTCCAAACAACCCATAAAATAGTTAAAAAATCAAATAGCTAACTAAAATAACTTAGTCACAAACGCGGCCTAAAAAAAGTGCAAATTATAGTGTTTAATTTCATAAAAATGTTTGGGAGCTCTAAAGGAGCTCTAAAGAGTGGGTCCCACTGACTAATATAATGTTTTGGCCTTAAGTTTTTTTTTTTTTTTTTTTTTTTTTTTTTAATTTTTACCTCATTGTGGTCATTAATACTCCTAAATTAGTGAGATGTATCATTATTGTTAATTTCAACCCTCCATCTCATAATCAGTCACAATCTTCTTTTCTCTTCTTACTTTTTTCACTATACATCTTGATACTAAACCCTATTCCACTTGATTCCATCATTTTTTACATCCTATTTCGTAATAAAGTCAACAATAGACCATGAAGAAGACGTGTTCAAGCTATCTTTTATAGAGAAAGTAAAGTTTTCTGTTCATTTTCATCGTTTTTGGTCAACAGGTTTTTAGAATTCGTTTGGAAATTTGGTATTGGACCAATTATGTTTATTTGAAAACTTTAAAAAAAAAAAAAATCATATATTCGGCACTATGTTTTCTTATTATTTGATATTGTTTAGTATTTAATATCCAAACAAATTATCTGTGTTTGGCTCTGTGTTTCAAACATTTAATTTTTTTTAATTTATTCATATTTCAATTCTGAACAAAAAAAAAAAGAAAATGAAAATGAAAAAGAAAGGGAAAATCGGTC